ACACACACACACACACACACACACACACACACACACACACACACACACACACACACACACACAAAAGGAGCAAGGTCTGCATAAGCTTAATTAGCAGGCTAAATAAATAAATAAATTGTCACACATGGCTTTTCCATTGTAGTTGTGATCAAAATTAGAAAATGCAGAAATAGTACCAAAACTATGATCTGTTTTGTTTATCTTTGTTTATCTCTGTACTTAGTACAAAAAGTAAGGAAAATGTGTGTTTGCTAGATTATTTCTTTGTTGGAACGATGCTTCTTGGCAATAAATCGTATACCAGGCATCTGTTTAGCAGCACCTGGGGGTACCAGACGCTCAAAGCAAGTGTCAATAGCAACAGCAACATAGGATGTTTGGCAGAGAAGATTTGGCTTATTATTTTTTTTTATGTGCACAACCCAAATGCTCAGCTGCTACTACTCTATTGCTCATCCAACAAATGCAAAAGGGAAATTAACAGGCTTTCCAACATTACAAACACAACTTCTCTTACTTTTTGTGCTAAATTTATGTTCACATGACTATGAATGTAATTCTACTCTACATCATACAATACCAGCACACACAAAAAAAAAAAAAAAACTGTCAAGATGGATGAAGCCCAAAGAGGTAGGCTTTGAATTTCAAGCGTGCTCTAATTAGTATCAACTAATGCCCATTTTCTGCTCTCTTTTCTTTCAGATGCTGGGATAAAACAAGGAATTTCTTTTCCGTTTCCACAATGTTAAAGGACAAAAGGTAGCGACACGTTAATTACTTCAGCAGATATGGAAGCTTGAAAAAAAATTAGCACATTTGACACTTAACAAGTATATTACTTTGTTATTCCCTGTGTTATCTGTTTTATCAACAACATGAGAGAAAGTCAAAAAGCAGCTCGAATCCTTACTGCAACACTACAACCTAAGATGACAGCTGATGAATTTTACTCTTCAACAAATGCTGTGTCTTGGATCAGTGTTACAATATTTGTATTTAATACTTGCAGATGACAGCTGAGACATTCTAAGACAATCTTCAGGCAATTTAAAAAGAAAGTAGATAATGTATTACCAATTTAGTTTGCAGATTTATTTTAATTTATGATGATTTATTTATTTAAGGATTTCCTCACCTTACCCCTTACTTCTTATAAATTCAAACTATTTATCTGAAGTTATTAGGAAGTTACAGCAAGATGATACCGGCAGCTTCATGCAGAGTGACCGTTGTGCATCACCAGCATGGAAGGAAGGCAACTTTTAATTAGATGGAAGCTGGTAACACAAGATAAAACACCGAGAGTGACACAAAACCCAGCAAGCAAACACGGAGACGCCACCGTCTCCTCATTCAGGCTTTTCCTCTGTCTTCAACCTTTCTTCTCATCCTGTGGAAGATGTTGTCTCTGTTTATCATGTCAGGGACTGGATGGCTCGTTTCCAGGAGGACTATGCCAATGTGTCGCCTTTGAAGTCTTAATTGGATGTGCTGGAAGCCATCTTTGTTTTTAGATAAAAAAAGAAAGGATGTGTACATCTCTCTTAGATTACACCATGGACTGTATATGAAACAACTAGAATTACACACA